CAGCGTCGCGGCAGACACGGATGGACGCAACGCTTCCGATGGAGGAGAAAAGCTCGAAGAGCATAGCCTCGGTAACAGAGGGGTCAAGTTCTCCAACATAGAGGGAGGCGGAGGTGTGCCCGGTATGGGTGGTAGCGCTGGGAGCGGCGCTGGAAGAGCCATTGTTGTCGCTGTCAGAGGCAGGGTCGTTGGCCGGGGAAGAACCGTTGACGGGTTGCTCAATCTGCTCCTGGGGAGGAGGGGTGATAGCGGTGGCTTCAGTAGACATTTTTATGTGATGCTATCTTGGGTGTCAGCTTAAGGACGTAGGAGCAAGGAAATAAATAGGTAGGAAATAGAGGAACAAACATTTATTGTCTTGAAAAGTTTTTCTTTTTTCCGGATTTTTTTTTATATATTTCCTTTGGTTCGATTCTGTTTGTAAAATACCAGCAGCAAGGCAGGATAGAAATAGTCAGTCAAAATGATCTCAGTACTCCCACAAATAGAGCACAACGCCTGATTTCTGGGGCGAAACGTGCACAAGAAACGAGATAAGCGGGATGGAGGGGCAAGGGGTGAGGTTATGAACGTGAAAAAAGAATAGCGAAATCGTGGAAACCCACCAACAAAGACGACCACTAGTAGTATTGGTGAACTGTAGCAGAACTGCTTTGTTTGTGCCTTGCAGGTGAGCGAAAGGAAAGAGGGTATAGATAGAGGGGTGAAAATTGATGTGGTGGGGTAACTTTTCAAGCGTTCCAAGGACAAGCCTAGTAAGGGAGCGAGAAAAAAAAATTTTGTTCGCGGGGGTGTGTGGTTGGATGAAATTTGTGAGCTAACAGAATGCGAACCAACCTTGGATGTATCGAGAGAAAAGGACTTTTTTTTTTTTTTTGGTTTTTAAAATGCCAGGAAGGGTTTTCGGATTGTTTTCAAGTTTTTTTTTATGATTGGATTGGTTTTATGGGGAAAGAAGAACGGTGTCGTGGAGGTTGATCCAAGACGAAGTTGCGGAAGTTGATGAGCTCTGATGGGAGAAGGGAAAGGAGAAAGGAGAAGGGAAGAAGGGAGGAGGAAAATATTTTGAGGAGACGTGTGCGAGAGGGCAGGGCCCTGCACAGTAATTGAATGCAGCTTGCAAGGTGACGGAGAGGCGATGGCTGATACCATACTACGTAGCTTCTACTGCTTCTGCTGTCTCTTCTTCTTCGCTCCTGATGCCACTCCTTTTTTCCACGCAGTTCTTTATCTATTCGCTCGGTGCATACTATTCTAAATTACTCCCGAAGACCTAGCATATTCTTCCTTTGATTCTGCAGAGAATGGCTGTCTTGCCTTTGATGGTTTGAATTTGTATACCTAGGTTCCCTTGGTTGGCTAATTGATGACTACGTGCGTAACCGACCGCTGACTGCTCACCTGTGCAGCGCACTCACCCTACGCTGCTCACCCTGCCGCCACCTCGTGGCAACCTCGAAGCTTTAGCCACACCACACAGATGATCTATCAACCCCAGGTCACAGTCACAAGGGGCGCCTTGTAGCCCCCTATTCCCCTTTTGATCAATCAAAAGGACATACACGTATCGTGTCAGAAACAAGCCTTTTTTTAATCAGATTGCTCTGTCATCCGTGAGATGGGAATCCAGAGCTGTTTATCACCAAAATCTAGCAGTCATTTTCGTGAACTACGTATTAGTGTCGCAAGTCCACACGAATTCAAATGTTGAGGGCGGGGAATCGTTGAGCATTCTTTATGAAGCTTCATCACCGTGACAACACGTCATTCGGCATAGACACTAAACGGCCAGTTCAGTCTGCGTTCACTTGGCACGCCTGCTTGCATCTTCGGCTATTCCCTCGGTTTGAAGGGGTGTTACTGTTACTGGTGGCAGTTAACTGCCGTTGATAAATAAAAGTGCAGATCTTTTTTGAAGAGCACAAGCTCTCACTCGGAGTAAGCTGCACTTTTGTACTTTGTATGTCTCCTTGTTGAAATAGAAATCCGGCCACTTCCATAACCTCAAATAGTATAAATTAGTGCCCGGAAAATCAGTATTCAACACTCTAAAATACTATAATCGTAATCTTGTTTTCATGTTTGGTTAGGCGCGATCTTACTGAGCTGCAGGAGCTCGGATTTCGGGATCTGATAATCTACGAACTCTCATGCTTCGTTGAGTGAGTGCAATTATGGATCATCGCGGGAGAGGTTTATATAATTCTGTAGAGCAAAAAAGAAAGCTTAAGCAGCTGATTTTTTTTTTTTTTGTTTAATTCATTAATTGGAGCTTAAGAACATAATATAACTTATTGAAATTAAATTTAGATTGAATTCCGAAGTTTTGCACAATTTCGTATTACTACAGTGCCTATTACATCCCCTTTTTTTGTAAACGGAAGACTGGAAAGGGGGAGGAGACCGAAAAAAGGGAGTCGGGTTCCGAGTGATGGGTCATGACTGAGTATACGCACCCTCTGGATAGATGTAGTATATGCGTAGCTATCACTATATAACCCTAGATTAAGACATGTGCTGCATGTGATAAGAGCAGCCATGCTGGTGGTATCAGGTACACAATACACTTATGATCGCGCGCGGTCGACACATTAGTATGTGGGAGTCTATAGAAGAATACATGTAGTCCTGCACTGGGAGAAGCAGTTGGTTCGCCGTTTGACACACTGCTTAATTCCTAGTATCTAAGCGCGTATTAAAGCAGTACACACATACGCTATCACTCGTATTGATATTTATATTCACGGCCAAAATGATATTCCGGGTACCCAAAGGTAAATGAAGAGAAACTTGATCAATAAATTTACTTTTGGTATAGTTCCAGACCTATCTTTACCATATACCGGCCCCAGCTTAATCCTACACATGGCTCTGTCAGTTTTATAGAAGAATATACAAGAGTTCCCACACCCCGACAGAAGTCCAAACAAACCCAAGAGATACCCACACGCCCGCTAGTTGTATGGGAATCTCCTCGTGTTCTTCTTGGATTGCCTCCTGCCATCAACAACAACGTTCGCTCTCGACTGGATAGCGGTTCTGTGCACTTGGTTTCTCTTGTCCCACGCGGCGCTCCTTCCCTCCACGACAGCAATGATCTCATCGGCAAACCTCTCCGCCAACCCACTCCTATCCTTCTTCTTATCCGCAGCAGCCACAATCCATTCCAATGCCATCCTTCTCCTCTGCCTAATATTCAATGGGCTTGGAATCATATCCTTCGCTCCTCCTGCTCCCTTGACAGAGATAATCTTCATGAGCGGAGCGACAGAGTCAATGGCAGTTTGAAGATACAGAAGGGGGTCAGATGGGAGGGACGAGAGCGGAGGTGTTCCTGGGATGAGGGGGGTGTATGTGATAGATTGCTTGGGCGCGGGCTTAGTACGCAGGATGGAGAGGACGTGGTCCATGACAGACTGCGCAGTTGCTTTCTAGGAGGTGTCAGCCGGGCCGCTAAAGAGGGGCGAAGGGTGTGGCAACCTTTCCGTGTCGCATTAGGAAGTTGGTAACCTGTACCATCAGAGGGGAATAGCGATATTGCAAATGTCCCCGAGCGGGAATGGGAAGTGTCGGCAAAGGAAACTTGGCGCCGGGCGGAAGGGGCTCTTCGAGAGACATTGAGAGGATATTGGCGGGGGCCTCGAGACCGGCGCCAGCGTCAATGGGCGTGACCTCCGTAGAATATGATCGCTTGTTGGAGGGAGTCTTGAGTACTGAGGGAGCGTTCTTGCGGGCTTCAGCACTGCGGTTGATCATCTGGGCATGTTAATACAGTGGTCGGTACTGGCCAAAACAAGAGATCGAAGCGCATACCTCCTGAATAGGTGTGCCTTGCTCAAGCTCAGGCTTTGTCTCTCCGGTGATACCGGCAGTAGCGGCAGCCTCCTCGCTGACATGCGGAAGGGCATCTTGGGCAGGTGTTGCGGGGGTCTTTGGTGGGGGAGTCGATTGTGGGGAAGTTTTGTTTGAGTAACATCGTAAGAGCGCTGGATAGTGGATTGGGCGAGTGGCAATCCGGAGCGTGGATGTTCGGAGGAAGAGAGTGCGTGGTGGCGGCATCGTGAATTGGTGGAATTGGTGTTGGTGAGGTTGAAGTTGGTGATGGAGGTTGGAAACTTGTAGTACTAGTGGTGGGGCAGGGAAGACGTGAGTTAAAACCTGCAGGGTGACAAGAGAAGGAACATATATGCACAGTCTACTTTACATATGGTGATAACTTTATGATATCAGGCGTGGTAAGAGTCGGACAATTTTATTTTATTCAACTAACGCGCATGAGAATAACTGGAGTTGATTTTTGCGAAGTTTTGCACTCGATTTTAAGAAGCGCTGCGCCACAGATGTACATATTTGTATAATTTACTGGTATCACAAGTACCTACAATACCTCATGCACTGTGGGCTTATCCCGAACTGAAACCCTCTTTCACCTGTGAGGAATCGTCTTGAGGAGGAGGAGGAGGGATACAGGATCTAATCCCCGAGACTCTAAACTTGGACATGGACCTCAGTGTTCCTGGTGATACCGTAATGCCCTCATCTTATAAATCAAACGCCACAGACATAATTCACGGGCGCCACACAGGCACTGATAAGCTTTGGGTTTCTCTGTAAGTAGTTCAGCGTTTCCCTTGCTCTTTCTACCATCTTTTCTATCTCTTTCCTTTCTTTAAATTTAAACCTCATCTTCTCCTATCGACACCCTTGTAGTTTTCCTTTCACCTCGACTGTCGATCATTCTATCCGGTCAGGCCCTATCATCTTCTCGCCCATCACCACACCCCCCCCCCCCCCCAGAAGCTCTCTCGCAACCACTGCCACTGCCACTGCCACTGCCACTGCCACCGCCATCATCCTAGCTTCTATCTCCTACTAAACCCTCTAACTCCGTCTGTTACTCCTACCTTGGTGGACTATCTTCTCTGAACCATCTCAGCTCTCCCGCACAATAGCTCTATCGTTACACACATATCCAGAAGTTACCCCACACTCACCCCGCAATGTTCACCTTCAACGGGTCTTCCCGCAAACCCCGCGTTGTCAACCTCTCGGGGCGTAAATCCACTGTGCCGCCTCGTGGTTCCAAACCCTCACAATCACTATCCCTCGCCAATGCCCAGAAGGAGCGCGCCGAAAGAGAAGCCGAGCGTCGCCAACTCAAAGCTGCTTCCAACATCCAGCGGGTCTGGAGAGGCCGGAGAGTTGCTGGCATCCAGAGGGCCCAGTGGAGACGGGAGTGGGATGAGGAGTTTGGCGGAGAAATCAAGGGCAGTTGGATCAGGGGTATCGCCTTATTTATAGCCTTCAACCAGAGAGGTTTTGTAGTGCGAAGGGACTCTAAGGGCAGGATAGGTGAACTGGGATCTGGCGAAGGAAGAGATGGGTCGATAAAGGGTGCCAAGGGATACCGCCGTGAGCGAATACAGGATCCTCAGGATTTTGAGAGAATCAAGGTTCTGGTATCCCTGGTTATGGATGCTATCAAGAATGGGGATAATATGGCAGGCGAAGATCCGAAGCGATCACGGTATCTGTTGGGACAGTTCGCCAAATTGCTTGTTGAGGCTCTGTATGACGATCCCGAAGGGGCTGATCTGCCCGGCAAAGCTATGAGTGGTGACTCTGTGAGGAACTACTCTCTGAGACTGCTTCCATGGCTGGCTGAGAGACTGCCGACGCTTGTTGATGCAAAATACTACCAGGCCCTCTCTCGAGTCACGACTGCCTGCGAGGCTGACTTGGAAGCGCTTTTGAGGGCTGTATTGACGCCATTACGCTCGAAAAACGAGTGCACCGCAGTGTCTTACACGGTCTTTGCTGCAAACTATCTTATCACCCCCGGGCTTCCGGAACGCCTAGGAGCTAAAGGGTTCTGTATGCTACGGGAAGGAGTAGATATAGAGGAGCTGTTCAAGGCTATAGAAGCTACGCCGGGCGCTTGGCTGGGTGCAGAGGTGGAAGGGCGATTATGGCTTTTGGCATACATAATCGATTTCCTGTTTGCTTCATCGTCACGAAAAACGATCATTGACCTCAGAGGAGATGACCGCTTGAGGTTCAATAGAGACGTGGAGCAGCAAAGAGTTTTGTCACTATTACTTGCCTCGGTTTCTGCAGAAGCCGGCAAGAGGATTGATATCGAGGATATGCCAATGGGCCAAGAGGAGGAAGAGGACTCGGATGAAGAGGATTCAACCGATATAAAATCCCGCCCCAGTAAGAAACAACCATTACCGCCGTTTATCAAGTCTCGATTGGAGGGACTGGTACAACAATCTTCTGTTTCAACCGTTTTTTCAAAAACAAAATACTCTGATCTCAATGATGCTAAAATATTTGCCGGATTTACTCTCACTCTGCTATTGGTGTTTCCCCGTAAGAGTCAGGACGTTCGCATGTGGCTCTGCCTAGCAGAAACCAGTGACGGTGCATCTGCTGTGCGATTTCTCTGGGAAGCCGTGAGAAGAACAAACCTTTACTCGGGGATCAGCCGAGATTACAAAGTTGCCGTAGAAAGCCTTAAAAGACGCAACAATTCCGAGGATTCAACGCAGACTGATGATGATGAGGAGTGGAATTTGATTCTTCTTTTTGTCGAACTATACGGATTCCTGCTCATGGTTATGGACGATGATGAGTTTTTCGCCGGCAGAGGAATCAAGGATAGGCAGCTACCGCTGAAGGAGGTGGGAGAAATGAGCGTATTTCTTAAAAGTATGACATTCGCGATGTATTGGGAAGGCGGAGAGATAATAGGTGAAGATAAATCGAGAACAAGTGGTGGAGAAATCTACTTTAAGGATCAAAATAGCAAGGGGTGGAGCGTAGATTATCTAAGGGCACAAGCAACCGCATTGCTAAAGCAACTTTATACTAGAGAGTATGTTCACTTCCAAATTCTTAAGGCTTTATTAACTGGTGTAGTTCTCGACGACAATTCCTCCCTAAAGGCCATTGGCTCATGACGAATCATTTCGATATGGAAGGATTCATCCCTTCAGTGGTTCAAGAAGAAGAAAACAGACACCGAATGGAAGCCGATGACGAAGATGTTGAAGAAGAGGACGAGCGCGAACTTGACCCCGCTGCTTTAGCTGCGATGAATCCTATTGAGCGGCGTAATCTTCGATGGGAGCGAAAAAAAAGGTCCCAGCGCAAAAAGCAAAGATATAACTACCTGGCTGCCATTGCCCCCCGCTTGGAAATTCTTAAGAATCTACCTTTCTTCATTCCGTTTGCAACTCGCGTTCAGATATTCCGCCAATTCGTCTCTGTAGATCAGAAAAGACGCCGCGGGGGATTTGTTGATCCGGATCAATGGCGAGCGGCGGTTCTGTCACGGTCTAGACGGGGTACAATACCGAGACAGGATGAAGCTCTGGACGGCCATGACATGCTTTCCAGACATCATGCCACGATCCATAGAAATAGGGTATTTGAAGATGCATACAAACAGTTTTGGCCTTTGGGCGAGAGACTTAAAGAGCCAATACAAATCACATTTGTAGATCAATTCGGGACTGAGGAGGCAGGAATTGACGGCGGCGGTGTTACGAAAGAATTCTTGACCGGCGTCTGTGGGGAGGCCTTTACACCTGCTGCTGCCGGCGATAGAAATGCTGACGATGACGATGACGATGACATTGACGACGGCCACTTAGAACCCGGAGAGCCGGAGGGTTCCTCCGGCTATTCAATTCGCCCGAAGCTGGGGAAGAACTTGTTTCTGGAAAATGAACAGCATCTGTTATATCCCAACCCAACTAGTATCGAAGTGCTGAAAGAGGAGCTAGCGACAATTAATTATCCGGATCTCGACAAAGGCATTAGACGCCTCCTCCGCCGCTACGAATTTCTCGGCCGTGTGGTGGGAAAATGTCTATACGAAGGAATCCTCGTCGATGTTGCCTTCGCCGGGTTTTTCCTTCTCCGGTGGTCCCAACAAGCCAGCGCCACCGCCAGCGTCGGTGTCAATGATCTCCGAGATCTCGACGAGGATCTCTACCGCGGTCTCGTCAATCTGAAGAACTACAATGGGGACGTCGAAGCCGATTTCGCGCTCAACTTCACCATAACCTCACGACTACCCAGCCAGAAGACGATTACAATAGAGCTGAAACCAGGCGGCGAGAAGATCCCAGTTACAAACACAAATAAACTAGAATACATCCATCTCGTCTCCCGCTACCGTCTCTCCGGACAAGCATATGAGCAGACCGCCGCGTTCCTGAAGGGCCTCAACTCAATCATCCAGCCCTCATGGCTCTCCATGTTCAACCAGAGCGAGCTCCAGACGCTCGTCGGCGGCGACATAAACACCCCGATCGACGTCGAAGACCTGCGCAGAAACACAATCTACGGCGGCGTATACCAGATTGGGGACGACGGGAAAGAGCACCCAAGCGTGCAGCTATTCTGGGAGGTCATGCGGGAGCTCGACGACTTTGAGCGGAGAAAAGTGCTGAAATTCGTGACGAGTGTTGCGAGAGCCCCACTGCTGGGCTTTGGCATCCTGAGGCCGAAGTTTAGTATTAGAGACGCTGGAGAAGATCAGTCGAGGCTGTGCAGTGCTAGTAAGTAACCCCCCATGTGAGATTCGGTGCTGCCGTTGTTGACGATTGTTAGGTACGTGTGTGAATTTGCTGAAGATGCCGAGATATAAAGACTTCAAAATACTGAAAGAGAAGCTATTATATTCGGTGAACTCCAATGCTGGTTTTGATTTGAGCTAAGACCTGAGGCGTAAGGCGGGGGGGATTTGGGGGGGGGGGGGGGTGGCGGGTGCAGCAAAGGTGGTTGTTACATCTATATGAAATTGGAACGAACCGGACAACGGGGCTGTTTGTTGTCGAGGGGAAACGTGATAGAGAATGTCGCCCAATATTAGAAGCATGGCTACTTAGCGATGTAAGCTCTGTTCTGCGCTCTGTTTGGAATGATTGTACTGGAGATCGAGATACCGTGGGGACTGGTGGGATTGGTGGGATTGGTAATTGGAGTTTTAATGGGTATTATTTCTCTTTTTTTTTATTTATTATTCTTATAGCTAGTATCTCTATATAGTAAGCAGCTTGTAAAAGCGATACCACACTGATATATGGTGACAAGCGAATCATCCTTTGATATTCAAGTCCGCCAATGAGCGACTGGACCGGTATGAGTATATGTATGTTTAGTTGAATAGTGGATAACTAATCCGGAGAGAGACGTCTCCATTAAATCGCGGAGCCTGGGGAAGGGTATGACGTTGGTCACAGGAGGAAACAAGGAACCGGTGTCGTCGTAAAACTTATATAATTATCTACTGCGCACCCGCGAATACCATTTGATCCGACTTTCTTTCTACTCAGCTCCAGGGGGAAACAATATTCCCCAAGGCCTGTTGCTTAATCCGTACGTTGCCCATTTTCACGAGATATGTCTCACCTACTCACTTGCAGTTTCCGAATTTGGAAGCCCCCAATTTCCGGCGGATGCAGCAGCCAGTCACAATTCATCACTCGAACCATATCACTTAACATGTCCCAGCTACATACTTGTAACTAGGCAACGAATCCAGTTATTATTTGTTGTCAACCTCATTAATTGTATAAACTACTACTGGTTCCCAATATTGGCCATGGCCCGTGTTCGTTATATATCATATCCCAGCCTCCAAATCTACATCCCCGGCCAATCACCCAAGCCCAAAAGCTTAATTGACATAGCAGGTGCCAATAGTGCCACTTCCCGTCGCGCACTGAGACTACACCCCATAACACCACCACAGTCAGCACGTATCCCCACTTACTCACACCCCCGCCGCCCCCAGGACCAGAAATACTCACGCAATCCACAATCGAGCAATACGACTGATACGGCGCACAGTAGTAGCAGTTCAGCCCCGAGTTACCACCGGACGGGTAGCACTGGAACGAGGAGATCTGGTCGTTGATACCCTCGTTCCTCAAGTCGGCTGATCCAGGGTTGCTGATCTTCTCAAAGAACTGTCCCTGGCTGCAGCCGCTGTTGCGGAAGAGCAGGCAGGTGGTGCCAGAGTCAGGGCCGAAGGACGAGATCTTGTCGTTCCAGTCGGTGCCCATGTTGATGCAGGTGTAGAGGGGCTGCACGGCGTATCCGCAGTTGCCGCCCCAGTTGATGTCGTCGCAGAGGAAGATCTGGAGGGGGTTAAGATTAGTTTCTTGAGAACTTGGGACGTGGGGGGAACTTACACCGCCGACTGTACGTCTTGCGATTGAGACGCCGGGTTCGGCCTCTGGGAGGGCGTTCGGGAGGGCGACGCTGGAGACGAGAGAGACGAAGGCGGTGAGAGCGGCAATGGTGAACTTCATTTTGGCGGTTGGGGTGGATCTAACGGAGGTTTGGTAGATTGAGATTGAAGATGAAGGACCGTGAAGAGCTTGCTGGGTGAGGAATTGGTACTATGTGGGGGAAGCAGAAGGGTTTTATATCCTCAGAAGGGCGGTTTTTTTTTTTGCACTTTTGGCTAGGTCTGCTAGGAACCGGCAGCTCATAGGGAGAGTAGAGGGTGTCGAATCGAATGAGCTGTATTCTGCAGGTACTGTGCTTGGTGATGTAACTACATGGAGGAGTGTGTAACTATCTAGTTCTTATTATCCTGGAAGAATTGAGTAATTAGATACTCCCAACGTGCTCCAATGGCCCAATCGAATAGTCTGGAGAAAGCTGCCTAGTACTAAAATCGGCCGAAAGAGGAATGTCGTTAACAAATCGGGCTGCTGAACACTGAACAACTGATCCGGCGCCCTGCCCGCAATATCAACAACCTACTAACTTTTTAAGCCAACAGGTGCAGGACCGATCCGCGCTGGGCCGCAACCCTAGTAGAACGGAGGCTCTTTAACTCCAAAAGAGAAAAAAGTTTGGGTCCCAAGCTTTTGCCTTGCCCCCTTTGAACACCAAGATCCCTGCGGCTTCGGCTCTGCTTTAGCCGACGATGGAGAAGTTGGAGAACGGGAGATGTTATGCTATGCTTCGGGTCTGCGGCACCCGTGGTGGTTACTTCGTGAGCGGAATATTGGACTGATGGTCATGTAGTGGTATAGTAACTGGTGATGGTTGATCGACTGTCTATAGGCGCCGGTAGTATGGTTGAGCTTACATTAATGACTGGTCGAAGCTGACAAGTTTAGATTAAATGATTACTATCTCGGGAGAGTGACATTGAAAAGGTTCCTGCGCCTACATTTCGATAGAGACAGTGCTTCTACGATTGCTGCTTTCGGCACTTGAAGCGAGATAGGTATCAGTAAATTACTCTATTGATATTGAAGTTGTGCTCTACCGGGCCAGATTTTGATTTAGGTACCCAGGTGTAGCCTGGTGCCTAAGTATTGATACGAGCATCAAGCTAGAGAGAGCACTCAGCTGGTGCATTCGTGAAGTGTACTTGTACATGTAGTTACAGGTACTTCCCAGAGCAAAGTATGTAATTAAGTTACATGATCTAATCCTAGCTTATCGATTGATCCCTACATAAGGCGTTCTGAAGAGGGCTATCTTGATTGGGATGCACGGGAGATGGAGCCATAACCCATCCCTGCTGGATGACTGCGCTACATGTAGGTACTACTTGGTACTCGAGAGAGCTGCTCATTACCTGCATAACTGAAAAGGTACTGAAAGTCAACAACTCTGCGTAGTGTCTGCCAATACTTACTTTGGCTGGTATCTAGCTCGAGTGCTCGCGTACCTAGATGTAGATGTAGGTACATGTAGGTACCTCAGGTACATGTGCTTACTTGTACAATTGTGTCTCAAAAAGGTTAAATTGCCCCTGCACCACCATTTGGATTGGATGTTGCGATACCCTTTAATCTTCCGGTGTGTAGTACAGACTGTTTTGTATGTAATGCTCGTATATGCTGTCAGCTTATTGAGCGGATCAATATGAGAGTGCTAGTTATGAAATAGCCCATGGTAAAGTTGGGACAGATTAGTCAAATGTGAGTCGCTTATGTTATAGATTGAGCTGGCCAGGCAAAAGACACCAAAATCAAGCTCTTGTCACACAGAACGTTGTATTCGACAATAAAAAACCCCGGCTTCATGCATTATCATCTATCCCTCCTGCATGAGCTTAAGCTCTAGATAGTCCTAAATGAAGTCTGTGCCACGGAAGTGGGATTTGGATATTACATATATTTACAAAAACTGACCTTTCTTCCCTATCTTCCACTTATTCAATTGCCGAATTTACTCGTAAATTCTGAGTTCATTTCTCCCGATCTTTTACCCCGCTTGCTCTTCAACTAATCTGTCCCGTCTTCTCCTCTTCCAAGTCCCCACTTCCCCCTCCTTGTAAGCAGACTAGATGAAGTTCTTCACATCACACATCGTCGTTTCTCACTCTCTTCCTTGCCAGACCACACCTAGATCAACGATATCGCCTGTATCACCCCTCGCGTATACCTAAGGAGAAGAGGTTCTATGAGGTGGTGGTTGGTGTTGTAAGGCCGCTGGGTTAGATCTTTGGCTTCTGCATACTATCTCACCCCTCCAGCTCTTTATTGTTGTTTTTCGTCAAATTTATCTGGGTAAAGCCATCGAAGGACTACATAACGATTACAGTTAGACAGAAACAGGAAAGAGGACATGGGTAGTCATACCAAGGCTAAGGTTCGATTCTCCATCGACCTCCTGACATAACTCTTGAATGCCCTTCTTATCTCTCGATATGTGCAAGATGTCTCCCGCCTGCTGAATAGCAAGTTCAGTCGCATGGGCCCCCGTCTCGATTCCCCTCGATATGTTTTCCGCTCCCCGTTGAATGCTTCGTATCGCAAGGTTTGTTTCATACGCAATCCTTTGCAAGAACGTCCTTTTACTAAGTCAGCACACAGATACCACGCCTGACTTTGTCGGCTTGACTCACATATCCGGCTTCACAGCAGCCTGGAATACTCTCGTCTGCTTCTCTATCCACCTAGTGAGCTGGAAGGTTTCCTCCTGCGAAATCGGCCATTTCGGCTTCCTGAAGATCGCCTTCAACCCATGGGCAGGCTTAAGTCTATTCATGGTCCTCTCCAATGCCTTCCCACACCCCAGGAATGGCCCATGCGAGTTATGGAGTAGCGAAAACGCCTTGGACTTCGGGTTCCTACCCGCAAAGTCCTTCAAGTTCTCAAGCGCTGTTTTGAAGCCTTCGAGTGCCTTGGTGAAGGATTCGAGTGCATCCTTGATGGTCCGAAGATATCGAGGGGTTCTGGCCCTCTCAATGTATGTCTTACTCACCTCGACAAGCTTAGTGACAAGATGGATGATACTAAGGATGCTAGCCACAAGGCCAACAATTGACGCGGGATCCATCGTGCCGGGTGCCCACAAGGGGGTTAAAACATCAAATTCCGCCAGTGACCAGTCGATCCAGTATGGAGCGACAGGTTATGGCCAAAGCTGCGACACCTAACTATATATCAACGAACTGTAGTAGCCCCGCATTACCTCGCTTGTCGAGTCTCTTGTCCCCGAGCCTCTAATGATTCGTGATCGTGACATGTTTCCCATCCATGTACTCCGGTGAGTCGTGCTTCAAGCCAGCCAGCTGCACAGCCATCGGCCATGCTCGAGATTACTTTTCGAGGAATGCTTTCTAATTGGCTGCTAAGCCTCCACACACAATCGCTGCCTTTCCACTACTGCGGAGCTAGCTAGTGTGTAGATACACAAAAAATCGCACTTTGTAAAGGGACTTTTAGCACTTTCGAGGTAGATACATAGATACAGGTATGTTAAGTGGATTGACCTTCAGCCAAACGAGAGCGACTGCATACCTACAGTACGATGCCAGTCGTGAGCGTCAGGCGCAACCAGATTTCCACAACCTTTTCACAGCGGGTTGGTACACAAGATATTAAATGTCAAATTATTGTTATTTATCTACTATTTAACAACTATACAAAAATTCAGCTCTCCAAAGGATCAATTGTGGTTGCTGTGCTGGTACCCGTGATGGTTCGGGGGCGTTGCGACGCCGCGCCTGAGGCTCACGACTGGCATCGTACTGTACATATATATAGCCGCCACCACTTAATTGCGAGACTCCACTCCGTAGCATAGCCTTTGATCACAGACCGGTGTATACATGCAAATTTACAAAACGCATAAAACAAAACAAAACAAATCCTTATCCTCAAATCACGACATGGGTCGATCGATTCCTCACTTATCACCATCCTTGCTAGGCGAGGAGGGAGGGAGGCTGAGGCCGGACATATATTAAGTCCAGCAATAGATTTGGTAACAAGTGGGGCGTCATGGGGTATCACTCGCATGCTTTGTCGCTGGCAGGGTTGTTTTGTTTATTCAGCGGGCTGTGGAGATAACCTTCTGGTTATTAATAAGGTGTGGCGTTATGGAGCTGTGCGTTGCGACGCGTGTGCATGATGCTCGTTTATCCCCGTGAAGCTTAAGTCCTGGGATATGGGGTACGTGTGTGGGGGTACGTCTGGTATATATAGAAAAATGAGGCGAACTCGCTCGAATCTTCATGAAGCAGTGGTGCCGAATCTTACAAACCAAATTCTTTGAATTTCTGCATGGACAAGTGATGCACTAGCTCGCCAGCATGTGAAACCCACTCCTTCTTCAAAGTTCCGCCCTGCTGTTGTATCTAATAAACGCCTTATTCTAAACAATCGTTCCACACAACTCTTTAATTATTTGCAGAGCTAATGCTCTAGTACTACCACCTTTTATCGAATAAATTAGCACTACTGCTACTGTAAATTTACTCTAGATTTTCCTATAATATTTAGGGCGGTGGATCGTGCTTTAGTCAACAAAATGATCCTGGTTGTATTCAAACAAAACAGGTCGAACACTACGGTCTGACACTGATTTCTTTTACAATTTCAAAACGGAATCCTAATCGTACAGATGTAAGTAACCTTAACTCGGTTTATCGTGTTTGAATTTTCCAGTGTCATCCGACATTTCCCCCCCATTTGGTGCTGATAGTTATCCCTCAGTCCTCTCTATAAGAACCACGGACATTTACTGAGGCCTCAGTTTAAAATCCCCAACATCGTTGATAATCGCCCCACAGCCAGAGCTCTCCACGTATTTCAACCAGCCGTTCCAAAGATTTTTATTCCAGGTGCCCCTAACCTTCTCGAATTGCTCCATCTCCTGCTAGTTTCCGACCACATAGACTCCAAATCTCGCACGTGTCATTGCAACCGCGAACTTCCCGTGGTCCGCGTACTCTTCGTACGAGTTCTTTCACAGGGGCAGGTGCACGACGGCGTAATCGGCTTCTTTTGAAGCGGAAGCTTCGACCGTTGAGACCTCGATCTGCGCGCGGAGGCGCCGTTCGTACTGGCACCTGTTGGCTAACCCGGCCTCCATGAGCACTGCTTGAGAGTCGCAGTAGGTGAGGAGGATAAGTGAGGCGTTTGGTGAAAATTGGACGATGCTGCTCAAAATATAGAATACGAGACTTTTTTCCCGGTTGTGCGTCTCAAGCTCCATTAGCTCTTGGTCACACCTGGAAAAGTTGTATTTGGGCCAGCAGATACTCGCAGTGTTGAAAAAGCCCATGCACAACTCGGGGCCGACCAGATGAGGAGACGGAACATTGGATGCAGTGGTGATGGCGCCGCCGAAGTAGACATCGTTGATTGGTTGGTATAAGTCCTCTCTGCAGCGCATTTGGGCGGTGAGACGAAGGGGGTTCAGACGGAATTCGGGGTGTCTGAGGAGACGCTGGAACCATGAGCTGCATATCTCCATTTGTCTAAAGTCTTCGGTCAAGTATGTTGGCTCAATACCCTTCGAACAGCCCATGACTAGCCAACGAAGCGAGTTTGAGAAAGGTATTCTAGAGAGCCTGAGTGCAAGGCCCTCATCAATCGTATTGGCGTCCTCTATGACAATGAGGTCGAAACTCCGCCTCGAAATTTCGAATCCGTTATAGCAATTGAGTGTCGTCTCCGTCGTCATGAAAATGGCATTTGCAGCGGCGATTCTATCCTTTTTCCTTCGGGAATTTTTAACTGACAAAGGATGAATGCTAATGCTGACTCTCTTGAGGATGTCCATTCCAGCCCAGGTAGAATGTGGCTCACGACTCCACGACTCAGGGTGTGAATATACTCTTACAATATTCCTAGAGAGCCAGCTATGCTCTTCTGACAAAGTATCTAAAACAGTGACTGCCGAAAAATCCATGGCCGCTAGTCGCCATTACAAGGACTTTCTTTCTCTGTTGAATGAAATTAGAAATGATTTTTGTAGCCAATGCAGACTTCCCAGCTCCCGGAGCTCCGTCTACGAGAGTGAAATTGTGCTTGATAACATGTCTATATATATCAGCCTGTTCGGACAGAAGATCATTGCAAGATGATGTGGTATTGAACCTTCAATAAACATTTACCGGAAGTAGCCGGCCAAGCCGATGGCCTAAGAAAATTTGTTGGATGTTTATGAGTTCAGAAGGGTCGAAGCTGGGGGACAAGTCTCTGCAAAGTCGAGAGTCGAAAGAATCGTTTGATCCAACTGTGAAGTTTCAGGGATAATCATGACGTTAACCTTCTTTGGAGGTTCGAGCTTCGAAAGATACGCCGGGCATAACAACTTCAGACACAAATACCTCTCCTCTTCAGTACCTTCCAAAAACTCATGAATTTTCAATTCCCTAATAAGCCTCATATAGTAGTCTTTACGGGCTTTGACAGGGAGCAACGGCCCCCGAAATATTCTTATCGAATGATCTTGCACATCCATGTCTGCCGACCCATAAGCGGAATCCCCAGAGTAGATTACGCGGGCTTGTCAATGTATTCCTTTATATTCGGGGATTTTACATCCGCAGATTTTACTGTAAGGAACAAAAACCTCCCAAACGAATGGATCATTGACGCTCCCGTCTCCCTGGAGATGACACTCGAGGTCTTCTAAGGCCCTTTCCTTAAATAGTGATGTCAATTGAGCAATCAACTGTGACCTTTCGTACACCAGAGGCGCTGAGATCAATTCGAGGTTCCCGGGGTTTTTATAGGTTTAACAGTTGCCCAATCGTTCTGTTCAGTTGTATTATGACTCTCTAAAGGAAGCGAAGTGCTGGGGTATTCTTTCGCTGCTTTATAATTTGGTTAGAACTATTGAAAATATAAAATTTATGTTCCCTGGTGAGAAGATATAACTTACGTTGACGACCAAACGCAACACCCCAATGATTGAAGAAACCTGTTTTGTCCTTTTCATTCTTAAAATAAAACTCTAGCGAAGGATATGAATCCTCGTTCCTGTCCTTTAAATCAATCAAGGCGTCGTAAAAACCACTGGCAACCTTGGCAGCTGGCGATTCTTGGCCACTGGAGCTTTGCATTTTGTAAAACCCTAACATTTTGCCTCCTACATCTTTCTGGAGTTGGAGAGTGATGTAGCGGTGTTCTTCATCACAGTTAGGAATGAAGAATGAAGAGGATATAACAACTTTTTCTGAGGGCTGCTCATCTTTGCCGCCCGAGTCCGTAGTTACGATATAATTATCGTAGAATGTTATATAGATTTCGAGAGTTAAAGAGTCGAAAAGTGCGCACACTCGAACAGAATTGCGGTCGCTCCAGGAAGGGAAGATTTTTGCGCTTCCTCCATAGGTTGGAGTGACCTTGACGACGCAAAGATGGCGTGGGATATATAAGTATGTTGGATCAAAACAGGGGCTTCTCTGCCCCACAGAATAAGAACCCAAGTTTCGGATCAATAATTATCCAATCAAATTTTCCAAATTTTCTAGTATTACTCTTTCAATAGACTTCCCTTTCTCTGTTATCCAACGGGCTCAAACATTAGTAAGATTATGATAAATTTAAAGAAGAGATGAACCCCAAGGGGAGAACCAATCTTCAGAATGAGAGGTTGTAGGTATAAAACATACTGCAGCCGATGAAAAAGTATGCCAGTTGAGATGCCAAAAATCCAAATTTCTCTCAAAATCGCGGAAACAGAAACGGAACTGCCAAGAGGATGTGAATAAAGTAATTTACAGCCAGCTTGAAGAAAAGGATGAGGTTACAGTAATTTCTGTGATGAGATGATGAATAATTCGTGATGGAAAGGGGCGGAGATGGTGGAGATGGTGGAGGTGGTGGTAGTTGTTGTTGTGGTGGTGGTGGTGGTGGATGTTGGTGAATGGTGGGGTTGTCGAAGGGACTTGACGCTAGAGGTACTATCTTAAGATATTTCTTCGAAGTGGTTCCACAGAACCTTGGTATTTCGAGGCTGGAGAGCTCCAAGTTTACTCCAGAATTTGCCCACTAAATCATGTTTTGTCTAGAAACTATCCCATAGAAATAATCTTTTAAACTAAGTATTCCCGGCCTCTTTCCTCGTAGTTTCCTAACTGTCTACTCTGGAGTCAGCATAAAGAGAGAACCTGAAAACCTGATTGTCACCAGGCTTTTGAAGTTCTGCGGGTTACGGGTAGGTGATTTTATTTTTTGGGTGCGTCGTTCGAAGTAGTACACTTGTTGCTTGCCTACAGAATGTGGAGATGGTTACCTTGCTGCTAGTATCTATCTCTCAGAGAGCAGAGGGTTAAATTAGATTACAAGCCAAGACAAGAGCATCATTTGCTTGCAGACGGGGATACGTAGAATCTTTCTTATCTCCCCGCCAGGCTCGTTGCCCTTTGAAATGACCCTTCGATACTGGTTGATCAGCTTCAACCCTCTCATTAACGATATATATTCTTTGAGAATGTATATACGAATAAAAATACAAATTATAATCCACGATAGATAAATACTGGGCAAATTTAATTTGCGTCATGGTATCTCATTCGACATTCGAGTGATAGGATATGACAACATAGTTAGGCCAAGCAACAGTCTGTATCTTAGCTCCATTACCGGCCTTGGCTGCGTTGTCATACCAGAGTTTGAAAGCCTATCGCGAGACTAAGGGGAAGAAACTTACTTGTAACCCGAGTCTTCCAATAACACCTCTCTCGTCAAATAGCTATAGCCCCCTCGCCGACTAGTTTGACGCCTTCAACACAACTCCATCTCACAATGAAAAGCGCCATCTAATATAATATCCTTTAGTGCCTCCTGCTAGCTAGCTCTTCGAAGATGCAAACGAAATCACAAAATCTACGTTTATCGAGAGTTATTTTTATGGCCAACACAGCATTTCCTTTCGGGTGCTCTAGGCCATAAAGGTGTACTTCGAGGAAACCACAGTAGAAGCGGGCGCTTTTACTGTGGTGTGGCTGATCGATGGGAAATTAAGTCCCGAGGAACAGCCGGGATTTATATTTCCTCATTCTGCCCCACCGCCAGCTCTGTCCTAGCTTTAGTAATGACTAGAACTATTAGAGAGAGCACATGAATATTCCATCTCAATTAAAGATATATCTTCTTGTTCCGGTTTGATGTTCATGTCAGAATTAGGATCGATAATACGCTCGTAGTTTCTATAGTTTATCCATAACTGCGTCGATCAGAAAGCTGAGCACCCAAAGCAAGCATCATATTTTTTTCGCCCTAACAAAGTAATTGCCATACATACGTTACAGCTCGAGGGTAGACTTGAAATACACCGAGGTATGATCTCTGCTCGCCTCCGGCGGTATCGAGCTCATGAATCAGGCCCATCTGGACGATACAATGCTCGTTGTTGAGACCATGGAAGATTTCGGCGGCTAAAGTATCAAGTCTACCGGCAAAAGCTTACGCAATTCAGACAATTCACTGCTATAGCAATGTCCCGAAAATGCGGATTGGTGGATTCCGCATCTTCAACCAGGTGACACTGACTGACGATATTTGTGTTCCCATCGGTTCGCCCGGCTGAAGGAGAAGAACCCTGTCGAGATCCTTGGAGAGAAAGGCTTAAGTTGATCCAAACTCTTTTGAGACAGATCCTGGTACATGGACTGGGAGGCGTGCTTTGTGCCATGATAGGAGAATTTGGTTGGTTGCCGAGTGACGGTTAGTGATTGATGTATTGATTCTGGCAACGAATACAAGAAAAAGTACTAATTCGACCCAGCACTATTAACCAGAAAGCTTCAAGAGCACTGAATAAGAAAACCTTTCGTCCTGTTGGTGAGATATTTAAATACTTGTTGAGAAAATTTACCGATAGCATTAACAATCCTTTGAACTTTTAGATTTTTGCGAGCATCATCACATTAAGAACTACCAGTAAAGATCGGCCGGATTTGGTGCCTTCTATTCCGCTTCTTCGGGCGAAACAGTCCGATCGGCGAGTTCAACAAAGGTGCATCACTATTGTGGCCATCTGACAGTTAAGGATTATAAAGACAGCTACTTTAATCTTCAAGCATCATTACAGGCGTGGTAGCACCTTACACTTTACTTGAAAGCTCGAGGTTCGGCCAGTACTGCGGGAGAACAGGGAAATGACAGGGATCTCCCTGATAATCCTAGCACGGGCCCAAGTTCGGACCACGGCATCATACCATTCTGCTTCCACTTCAATCTTCCATCCGAAAGCGTGCTAGGTTGATAATAGATGTTATTCTATCTGATACCAAACAAACTGTTATAACGTACGGATCATGTAGCCCCGACAACCCGATGACCAGATTAGAATAAACTTGAACTCGCGCGGCGAGAAATTCCTTCACGGAAAGCACATTATCCCAGAGAGCTCGGAGCCGGTAGAATTGGCACAGGTGTTGTACTCGGGGCAGGCAATAACTTGAAAATGCAAGCTGCAAGCAGGGGCTCAATTTGGTGTAGCTTTTCGCCAGCCGCGAATCAGAGGTCGTTACCACCAAAAGTCATTTTCAGGTTCTTCTTACTTGCCCCGAGTATGTACGTACCGGTGGTTCATGACCCCACACTGATCTGGGGTACAGAATACTCCGAAAAGACGGACTTGACGGGCCATTGGTACGTAAGTCCTCTCTGGGGAACCTTGGTCGGTAACTTCCGAGTTTTGGCTAAATCCCATGTGTGCTTCTGTCTCCTGAACATGGTTTCGCAGCTAACAACAACCTAGCTGTAAAAAATAGATTGCTCGTTCGGGATATGTTTGTAGTAGCAGAAGTACTGAGCAATTAATTAGACTACCATCAGACTACTAACCTCAGACTCCTGCGGTTGTAGTTAATGCTTTGTTTCAGGCCGTTCACTCATGCTAAGCTTGTTGCTATAAGTTCAGGCTTCCCCTCCAACGACGTTTTGATTCTCCAACCCGCACAGCATTTCCTCAAAGAAAAATCGGTTGTTGATCACCATAATGCTGTTCTCTACATTCTTTGCTACCGCTCTGTTGAGTGTATCTTCGCTCATTTCTTCTGTCGCTGCACAAACTCCTGGAGCTTGCTCCGGAGACTGCAATGTCCACGATCCTGCCTTGATCAGGCGTACCTCTGATGGCAAATACTTCCGTTTCTCCACAGGAAACAAGATCACCATTGCCACCTCTAGTGCGTTGGCTGGACCATGGACCAATCAGGGAAGCGCTATAACAGGCGGTTCAAGCATTGCCCTCACCGGAAATGATGACCTCTGGGTAAGAGATACCAATAGAAAAAACAGAGGATATAAAGCGTTAACATGAACAGGCACCCGATATCCAAAAGGTTGGAGACTACTACTACCTGTACTACTCCGTCTCGACCTTTGGCTCCCAGGCATCCGCCATTGGCGTTGCCCGCTCCACCACCATGGAGGTGGGCTCCTGGACCGACCTTGGTTCAACCGGCATTGCATCCTCCTCTGGTTCTGCATATAACGCTATCGACTCCAACCTCATCCTTGCAGGAAGCACCTACTATGCGACGTTTGGTTCTTTCTGGGGCGACATCTACCAGGTCCCCATGGCTAGCACACCCACCAAGACCGCTGGTACATCCATCCAGGTGGCATACAACTCCTCTGGATCACACGCTGTCGAGGGCTCATTCACGTACTACCGATCACCATACTACTACCTTTTCTTCTCGTCGGGAACCTGCTGTGGTATGTATTCTCCCCAGCCCGGGATAGATGGTTCTGAGGTTAATTGCTCACATTCATAAAGGTTTTGACACATCCCGCCCCGCCCAGGGCGCTGAGTACCGCATCAACGTCTGCCGCTCTTCATCCGTGACCGGGCCCTATGTCGATGCCACCGGCAAGTCCTGTACCGCTGGTGGTGGAACCACCGTTTTGGCGTCCCACGACAATGTCTACGGACCTGGTGGACAGGGAATCTATCCCGACACCACCCAGGGAGGAGCTGTTCTTTACTACCACTATGGTATGCCTATCCCGGATTAACTAGCCATGCTTGTGAGGATTTGTTAACTAACGTGTGACCTTAATTTAGTTAATACCAACATTGGATATGGTGACGGACAGAAGCTGTTTGGATGGAACTTACTTAGCTGGAGCACTGGATGGCCTGTTCCTACTTAGATAATCTTTTAGTTTAGTTTTGGGAATAATATAGATAGGTCACTGTGAAACTTTGTTTCTAGAATTTTTCGTGCATGATGATGATATATGAGCTGTTGGTGATCTCAGAACATAAGTGTGATATCGATGATTTGTTAATAATGAACCAGCTAAGATCCTAATCGCCTCGCCTTACCCACTGACGGCAAAGATATCTAAACGATCGAGTGATATACCTAATTAGTTTAATCGGGCTTTCCAGCTATTCAACAAATCTCACATAGACTTGAAACCCTACGCAATATTTGTTGATCGACATTATGGTGTCGGCGGAGCTAACATTCACACCTGAATTCGAACTCTAGTATAATTCGGACTCTCGGCGCCGAAATCGAGAACATATCCTACTCCTTGGCAGCAAAAAATATTATTAGGGAAAAAAAACTAGATTCCCTCGGGGGCAGACAAAGCTTCATAAGAAAATAGTTTTCGTTTCTATCATTAAGTCGTGGTGAAAATTGTTAGGGATTTACAGTTTGTACCAAATCGATCGAAGTGTGAGTTTCAGACTCTGGGCGCCAGGAGATGGTCTTGGCCACGAACCTACTACTTACTAATCAAACTACACAACCCACTACACAACCCACTACCTCTGTTCAGAGTGTTCCAGAAAAGTTATCTGCACAACCAAAATTTCGCCGTTTAACCCGAGAGCACCTAAGACTCCGCCCGGACTCTACACTCAATCCAAAGCCATCTATGCATGCACCATATATAACTACTTAGCTTGGCATCATTGACAAGGGTTCGCTCATTCACTGCATCCACCCCTAACCCTGTAACTATATCCATCTTATCTAAACCGCCAGCGAATTAATTTCAGCCCACCTTAAAGAGACTTTTGACTGCGCTCTGACTTCCAGGAAAAATCGGACCATAGCTACTCGCTGTGTTAAGGCGGGTCGGATGTTGAGATATATTATTTAAGGTACGTGGGGACAGGGCTAGTGCTAGGGAGAGAGAACTAGAGCGGAGGACTACCCAGCTGTGCCGTTTATGTATATACAGTTTTGAAACGGCTATGCTTAGTAAGTGGTTGTGGAGAGGCACTGGTAGATAAGAGCTGGTGGCCGGTGGATAGACGGTTGATGGAGATGGGCTCGGGCAAGGTCGGTTTTCAAACCTCAGATCCCACGAACTTCTGGCATTGGGAAAAAACAAGGCTTCTTAATTCCAATATAGCACTGGCATGACAGCTGGTCTACTAGCTACATATACGTATAACCTCCATCTTCATTCTTCATAGGGATCTCCGAACCTTCATAACGACGGGCTCCATCAACAGCCACATCATCCGTATTCACTCAATACAACGCGCTACCAAGGGATCTAACTCTAAACCTCCGAACGAGAATATCTTGTCCATGCACATGCCTCATGTGCTGCAATATATTATCTCTGCGAGAAAAGCCACTGCTACCAACCCTTGTGCGCCCCTCAAAAGAACAATCCAACAACCTGGAACGCCCACCATGTCTGGTCTTGGAGTGGCGGTTGAAATAGTTTTTGGTAGTGAATATGCGATTGCAGTCATTACTGAGGTAGGTGATGTGGAGCCTTCATTGGAGACGTTGGCATCTGTGGGGGCCTCTGTGGAGATATGTGGTAGGTTAACATGCTTGTACCAATCGTTAGGTAGTGGGGATGAAGATAGGGCAATCAGGGGCGCATAAATAAGGGGGATAACTAACACTAGCTCTCCATTACACTTTCCGTCACAGGAGTTCTCTATTTGCCCGCTATGAGCCCTGGGGTCCTCATAGGTACTTAAGACGGTTAGGTGAGTAGCACTCGGTGGTAAGAGCGGCTGTTCGTGCGAAGAAAATAAACTGTTGGGCGTCTCTGAGCGGCCTATATAGCCGTAAGAAGCCAATGGTTGTGGGCTCGCTTGGGGGTGTTCGTATGTAGATAGGAATAGGTCAAACGACTGATCTACTAGACCAGATGGCTCAGAGGTTTGGTCTCCAATTGCATCGGGTAATCGTAGATGCTCGAATAAATCACGCAATTCGTTATCAGATCCAGCGCTTGAAGACCGACTACAACTATAACCATAACGTACGTTGACATTTAATCAGCAGTGTCTAATATATGGGCCTGAATATATATATTTCGTGTGATATAAACACTGATCGATCCCTTGTGATGATTTTTGGGGAAAATGAAAATCATACTTGTCCTGTTCCGTTTTCTTAGCTAGAGGCGATTTGGGTGAAGTGGCAAGGGCTGCAACGGGAAGTGTTTAATTGGTTGGGAGTAAGATAAAAGGAGCGCAGGCGTGTAGTTAAAAAAAAACTCCCACCAAGAGGAAACGTAAGTAATTATACCAGTTTGATCTTCAGGCACCCTCATCTTTGCTTTTTCGATGTCGAGCCTGGCTCTCAAGTGCCTGGGCCTCTCATTGGCCCAAATGGGTTTGTAATCACGGATTATCACTCGATGAACAGGGTTGATGTACGGACCATGGTGCCAAGAAACGGCCGCATGAGAAGACAAAATTTGGTCGAGGAACAACGGGAGCGTAATTTTTAAGGCTGGGGGCGCTGTACCCAAACCGCGCCCAAACCCCCCCCCCGGTATTGACTAGGATAGATCCCGGATCCTGAAGCACCCCCTTAAACGCCATGTCAGGCTCGATATCGATTGCTATAACGACTACGCCTTATATATATTTCATTAGTCATACTATTATAAACAGCACAGCCCATAAAAATAATTTAAAGTAACCCTCGAGCTCTACAGTTTTCCATAGTCGGTAGATAATGATGAGATCAAGCTGCATGTGAACACCATATGAGTATTTGGTATTCTTTACCTTTGTATGGCTTGTGGTGATTATGAGCCTGGCGGTTTAAGTGATATGTTTACACTCAATTCTCGTTATAATTGTGTAGAAATTGAGCCTGAAAGACTTGCATATAGATCTTCTTGTGAATCCCATTGCATAGGCGCTAGGCGGGTGCCTATTCACACCGGGACCAGTTGTAGTTTTTGTAATGAGTGTGCTTTCAAGGGGGGGTTTTTTTTATCAAGAGTAGACTGTAAAGTGTCCAATCTAAAATAAATCCCAGGATAGTGAAATAGAAGCATATTTTAGACGCCGAAGATAACAAAAGTTACAAAACCTGTGCTCAAACCCAAATCAAAGGAAGAGATAAAAAGCGAGAACGAAACAAAGCAAACGCCGAAGGGCGAAACATGATATCCGCGACGACCGAAGCGCCATATAAACAAACCATAATTATAAAGCCCCAAGATATACAAAGAAAACGCCGGGATATTGTGCGGTCTGGATGCTGAGCATGTCAACAGTAGATACCCAAATGAAATAAAGAGAAAAACAAGAAGAGGAGAAATCCCAAAAACACCATATCTCATCACTATAAAGTGGACTCCATGCCAAATCTACACTTCTTGACTGGGATATCTACCTTGTGCACCTTTCTTAAATGCTGCAACATGTTGTCCTTGCGAGAGAACCCCCTCATACCAGCCTTAGCACACCCCTTAACTTGACAATCATACAACGACTGTTTGGTTCTTTTAGAATGCTTCGTTATGCAGTGTCGGTTGAAGTCGCGTTTTCTCGTGAATTTGTGAGTACAGTTGTTACTGAGGCAGGTAATGTGTAGCTTTCTTTGGAGATGTTTACACTCATGATCGCCCCTGCACGGGTTCCAATGTATTAGTGCCAGGGAGAGGCGAAGCGCGTGAAATAGAGGATATTACACAAGATCTCCCCTACACCTCCCATTACACATGATATCTCTTAAGATACCTTGGCCTTTGTCTCGGTGGTCTCGTCGGCCCTAAATAAACTCGATTAGTACCATGCAAGGACAGGGCTAGGCTCGAAGAGAGGAATTTACACCATGCCTCTAGATCTATCAAAGTTGCCCTTAGATAGATCAATCTTTTTAAAGGGCTGCCCAGGTCTCCAGTCTTAGGGGTCCTTTCGGTCATCGGTACAGAGCCCTGAAAGCTTGGTCCAGAGGAATTAAACTCTACCAACTGATTCGGTCGTCCCGGCTGATCGGTAAACTGGGAAAGAACAGATGATTTATTAAAGTCACCCTCGATCTCGGGCGGATAAATTCCTTGCGAAGGACTTCCTGCGGCTTTGGTTATAGTTGTCTCCCCAGCGATTGGTACGAAGACCTGGAGGGTTGTTCCGCAGTTGAATTCTGAAAACTGATGCAGCCATCCCGATATATCAGTCGATTCAGAAAGAAGAGAGAGTTCTGGCATCATATTGAATGATGGGAGTTGATCATTTGTCGAAGGCTGCTCGGATAGATCAAACAACCTATCTAATTCGCCTTTTTCAAACCAAAGAGGGGAGATAACAAGGTTGTGTGTGAGGCCATGGTAGAGACCTATCTCTATACCATCCGGAACTATTGTGTGATCTAGATAGTCCTGTGCTGTTGTGAGGCTGGATGGTAAGGGCGGATTCGCTTTTTTTGAATATCCATATAGCCCGGTTGGTTGGGTAAGTCTAACCCCCCCTAATTGTCCGAAGCTATCAACAAAAGTTTGGTCATGCTGTTCCAATGTATATGCACTAAAGAAATTCCTGGAGGTATCATCGGGTGCTCCTCGTGGACTTAATTCGAACGGAATCGTATCATGCTGGGCGGTTAGTGGCTTGGTAGTGTAACTAAGAAAGCACCTATTCTCAGTCAGATCAGTCACTTGTCTCTGGAAATATCGGTGCATCGTGTAGTGGTAGCGCAGTGTGCTACTTACTTCCAAATTTTAAATTTTTGCGGAACAGCATAAAGTATTAAATAATGATGCCTGGGGGGAAGATAAATTGGCTCTATTTTTTTTCTGTTGCCATATCCCCTGGGGAGAGGCCCTTATAACGTGAAATACACTGCGCGTGCAGTGCGCGTAGTTACTAACTGAGCATGAGATCGTACGCACGAATTGATCAAATGTGGAGCTAAGAGCTCAATGCATGCGTCAATATTGTGCCTGTAGATACATGTAGCTCAGGCGCATCACTTGATAGGGACCTAGTGTAAACAGCAGAAATAACTTGATTAGTGACATACTCGTGAAACCGCTTTTACCATTCATATTTTTATCTGCGTATTGTTACGTCACGTACTCTACTCTAGATCTATGCATCCATGGCCAGATGGCATCCTAGAGGTGCGCTTATTCTATCAATCCCAGCGAGCCTGAAAGCGCTGTCACATATAAATGTATGCACGGTACATATCCGAGTAAGATTTAGACTTAGAGACCCAATCTCTTTGTGTTACCATACATCAGTTCGTTTGGACGGTTGCCAAGAGCGGTGTTGGCTTTTGTCTTGCTGTAAAAGGCTTTGATCTCTTCCTTTAGGGGCGATATTTTTCAGCTTCTCTGCAAAGCCGTGCTCTTGGTAACCATCCGAATAAACTGAGATTTTGCGGTAGATATCAAGCTCAGGCTCGGTAACACCAGATTCAGGCGGCCCAGTGCTTTCAGATCAGGCTCGGTACTCTAGCCTTACCAAAATCTAGCCAGTCATGTATGTACCCGTTTACCTATAACTAAACCTAGAGTGCATCGAAATGTGGAAACAGGGCCTGAGACCAGATATTTCTGTAGTGATTATCCTATCACTTTTACCAATGTTGGTGCCACCCTGCGGCTATCAGTCATTACTATACTACACGTAGTATATTCGTATATTTCCACACGTACACGCCTCCCCCGCGACCAAGAAAAATAAAACAGAAAAGCTCTATGTGCTGACTCCTAGATCGACTGCTTGCCTTTGAGAATCACGTAACTTCCCAGTGAATCTCTGAATCAGACGGAGTGAGACTTATTAAAACAGGTACTACATAATACATACACCCAAGGACAATAACTACCGTTAATTCTCGAAAAATCCACTATCCCGTATTTGTATGTGGCAAGTCCGAACTAAGGCGAATTGGCGTATCAAACTTCACGGACTCGTGCAGGTACATACTTTTTCTCACCCGAAATTAAGATTTAGCGAAGCGGGGATAGTGGATTTCTCGAGAATTACTGGTACTCCTGACTTGACCTCGTACCCAGTCTAGCATTTTGTGGCTGCTGTTCCAAGACTTTCTGCTGGCAGGAATGTAAACTTTGCGTACAACTTGCTTGATTTTACTATATACAAAAATAGATCCTTTTATACCAGTAGGCAGGCACCCAAAGGTCAAAGGTAGTACCGTAAAACCCCGGACCGAATATATGACTAAAACACATCTTTAAGCCCGTATGGCGCGAGAAGGCATGGAGGGTGGGCGTGTCAACTTCATAGAACCTTTTTTTGTATGGGAATTAAAAAAACTTCCACCGTTAGGCTAGGCACTAGTACCATTATGGGAGTAGATCTTCCAATTTCTATAGATTGATTGGCTACAAACGCCGAAGTTTACACACCTACCCACCATAGCTTCTCGAGCCATATATATATGTTATATATATGTTTTGGTACATATAATATTGCCAAAGGTACAAGAGGTAATTCCATTTCACTCATCCGACCAAGAAACGAAAGGATACGAAGATCGGCTCATTAAGGGCCTATTGCTATCTTTCAATTGATGGATTGAGACTCCATTGGTCACAAAATCTGCGCGGTTGTATCTAGTCGCTTTCTCCATTAATGTTTAAAAAAAAAAGGTAAAGGAGTGTAGAATTAATAGCGATATAGCGAACGCAATACAAAGAAATTCTTATCCCCCAAAGAGTGTAAGCTAACAGATGTACAGAAGAAGAAAATAGAGCAATGTAGAAAGTAGAACATGCTTAAGGTCAACATGCAGAATTCAAAAAACATTCACCCCCGCCGACTTCACCCGATTAAGCTTCTTCGAAGCCCCAGTTCGACCCCTGAACCCTAAAACTCTTTTTAAGGATCTCCTCTCTATGCACAATTCTCAAGTGCTGCGTGAGGTTATCCTGGCGCGAGAATCCTTTACCACCCCTCTTGCACCCGGCAATAGTGCAGTAAACCAACAACTGTTTAAGCCCGTGGACTGTCTTATAGTGACGGTTGAAGTCGTTTTTGTTGACGTATTCTTTCATGCAGTCGCTGGTGAGGCAGATGATTCGAAGTCCCCTTTTGGGGCGGTGGCATTGATGAGGGCCTCTGTACAGTGTGATAGTTTATAAGTTAGTTAAGGCACAAAATGGGAGTATTGAAGGTAGTTGAAGGAGATGAGGGTGTTACACTAGGTCTCAATTGCATTTCTTATCGCAAGGCATCTCTGGAGGGAGATCTCCAACATGGCCCGCATTAACTGGAAGGGGGCCGATGGCATCTGCTGCTGGTCCAGAGGGGCTAGACGGTAGATGTACATGAGGATTCACCTGTTCCGATTCAGGAGCGATTGAACCCGAAGGAGTGGCTACTGGGAGTGGTACCTGGTGTTCAGACTCTTCTTGGGATATGTCGAAGAATCCGGGCAGATGGTCGACATCGACTGCAAGAGGGTCGTTGATATCTGGTGTTCTAGAGAGGCTAGACGGTAAGTATGGATCTACCTGTTCTGGTTTATGGGCGATTGGTTCGACCCGCTCGTAGGGGTACTGATCAGGTGGCTGCCGGTATGAACCCAAAGATTTGGCTGCCAGAAGCTCTTCTTCGGATAACCCAAGGAACCCAGGCGGCAGATTTTCCGCATCGACCGCATGAGGCTCGTTGGAATCTTCTGCTGATTCGGGGGGGCTAGATAGTAGGTGTGGGTAAACCTGTTCCAATTCGTTGGCGATTGGATCGGACAGGTATCGATCTAACTGCAGATGACTATGAGGGCTCCGCCAATGGCGTTAGTGCAAACAATAAAAAAAAAATCACCTATTAATCTGCTCCATTTCTTATTGTCGATAAGGAGGAAGATTATTGGAACTAAGGTTCGATAGATCTTTTGAGAGAGGGGGCGGGGAGACCCTCAACTATATAGTTTTACACTCAGCTGGTCGCCCAGCATCTGACCCACACCACTAGTATGTATCTATGTCTTCTAGGTAATAACATCGTGTATTAGGCCTAGAGGTATATAGATACTAGTATTTTACCTAGAGACACGCACCATGCACCGCATGAATAAATGTAAATATTGCGGTCCTTACATACATGTACAATTAGCATTCTAACGGATAACACGAGATAAATATTCTTAGTCTTTCATAAAGTCGTGGGATATGTTCCGACGAAAGTGATCCTGAATAATCGTTCCAATGTAGTTAAAATACATGACTTGGGTAGAACCCACCAAAGGGCTCCAGAAGTCGATCCAAATCTCCAAACATCTTGTACTTTACTTTTCCGACATCATGATATCACCCAGATCACTTGCCTAGAGCATTGCGTCGCGAACGCCATATTAAACTAAATTGTTTATCAACCCACATCCTGCACGGAAATCGTAAAGCGTCACGGGAATATGAGCAGTAACGGCGGTCAAGGTACTTTTTTCACTATCCAGTATCTCAAAGAAAAAGGTATATAAATTTGTCAACCATGGCCATGATCTATTTACCTCCTCCTTTGGTATCGTCACAAAAAGCCTTGCAGGGCTACTAGGTAACGAGTGATAATTTGTGACCAACAACGCCTCAGTGTACCAACGAACCAATCCGCTCCCAGATATTTGTGACTTCAGGCCCGGTGACCCCAATTCAGGCCCGGTGACTTGAATTCAGGCCCGGTGACCTCAGTTCAGGCCCGTGACCTCAGCCTCGATGCCGAAACATATATATGTAGTGTGCAATGTTCATTCGATCGGATCCCACCAGTATGTCTCAGCCTCGGGCGCCGAAATTCGAATAGCCTACCAGTCGTGCAGATACGCTCCCGCAGGCGGCAGTTGTTTTTTTATTGTAAGCCTTGCGAAATCGTGAATAACCTCTAAACCTCATCTTTCATGTGAAGCTTCCGTCCGCCACCGACGAGCTTACTCGGCCTTCCGAGATAGCTACAGTCGCAACTCGATATACCGGATCTCAATACCCCGGATCCCTTGCTATCCCGTACGAAATCCTCTGGGGTTTTGGTTTTTCTTTTACTGCAAAATCAATTTGCTATCCCGTATGAAATCCTTCGAATCTTGGCAATCCGGCATATCGAGTTGCGACTGTACTCCATGTGTTGGCTTAAGAATAGTTAGCATATGCGTTCAGCCCATGACCTCGAGTGGATATGTATGTGCTTGGGCGATTCATCACATGCAACAAGTGGGCTGCAGACATCGTGATGTCGGTGTTCTCACGTACAGCAAGACAGTAGGCACGTTTCTCCATACCTCCAGCTGCAGGGAAGCTAAACACCGGATGGAGACTTTTGAATAAGACGTTAAAAAAGCAAGTAAATATGAGAGCAGGGTCAAATATCAAGATTGGAATTGGTAATCGAGACGGACTGTGTTTGGGCGTTCTGGTGTTTGATCCTGCTTGACGTCGTTAGCTAGGCCTACTGCGCAGGGGTTAGCGTTGTTCAAGATTCGGGGGGTTGCCAAGGCCACCTGCTAGTTTTGGCAGTACCTCCGTGCTGTAAGCTGCGTACATATGGGCATACCATACCATACCATGGGCATGTAACAAAGCCAAATACATGTACCGGGTGTTGAGGTAAGTGATCAGAATCTGATAAGTGAATGTTGCGGTGAATACGTGTATTTTTCTTATCAGATTCTGATCAATTTTCGCTATACCCTAGTACACCCGCAGGAAAAAAGTGAGGAAACAGCGAGTAGCGTGACAACGGGTGCCTCCAACTTGACATCCCCACACCCGCAATACAACCCCATGAGTATTCCGTGGCCATGCCTTTTGACAAGTCTAGAAAGTGGATAGAGGCTACTCCGAATGAAGAAATAAAAGTTATTGAAGCCCAAGCTAGGGAAGAGTAGGAAAGGCCGGATTGGGGGAAATGTATATAAAAATCATTGACAGCATGCCAAAGAGAATTGCAGCAGTAGTAAAGGACTAGGGAGATCATGGGGGGGGGGGGGTGAATATAGTTTAGAGGCCATCATAGTATCTATTCTGTATTTTATTATCTAGTTATATTACTTCTTTTCATTTGTATCCCCAATTTTGCATTAGGGTTCGGACGGGTTGCACCCGCTGTTTCCTCACTTTTTTCCTGCGGGTGTACTTGGTTCGATAAAGAAGACAACTGGTCGAAGAGCTGCGCGACGTCTCTTTGCCCTGCCCTGTATGTATAGTACTAGGACAGAAGTTTTGGTGATATACCCTTTTTACAGCCAAAGTAGCCATATTTAGCTACCCGAAGCAACCACCCAACCTCATCCAAAAAATTTCAAAGTTTCAAGGACAGTTGAGAATTATCTCAAGATGGAGCACAGAGAATTCTAGAATTTTAAGTCCATTCTTCAGGTGTGTGCGGTCTAACTCTTAAAGTCATGATTTGAGTGTTTCTGATTTTGTATGGCGTTCCCATACAAATTTTGTGTTGCAACGGCAACCAAAATTCTGTACCCTGACTGTACTTCCACATACCAATATAACCCCAAACACTTTCTGCAAGCAAACCTTTTCTTCAAAATAAAGGATTACTATTTCAGTGTTTTATCTTGGCTTTCACAAGGAACACTTATCTAGATACGGCGTATTGCCCATTTTGGTAACCACCAACCATGTCAGACTGATACAAACGCCAGTCAGCTCCTGACTCTCCTCCAAGCCCACGAAAGCGGATGCCATCCTTTTAGATACTGGGTATTGAGAGATCTTCAATGTGCGTATTCAGTACCGTCCGCTGCCTAATCCGTCTGTTTACCTAAATAGATCATCTCAGTAGCAAATCGCGACAACCACCGAACCGCCGATATTAGACATTATCCGCCCTCTCAGCAGCTACGCCACTGGACATTCCAAATCAAGACTCATCTTACGCCTGGGCTGGTGACTTTAAGCTCTGCAGCCCAAGGATCCTGCGTGTGTCAAGTTTAACTCTAAAACCCGACCTGCATAGCCGAAATGCTTGGCCCTCCCTAAGCGCCGGGGGCTCAAACTTGAAGAAACTCTGTATTGGCCCACGAACCGAACACAGTACTATTGATAGAGGATGTTTTCTCTCTCTATTGGCTGTGGCCCTAGAAGAACAACGGGATAACCGCTGTTTCAAGGCGCCCTGGGCAGGGAGAAACCTTATTCTGGGCGTTTTGGATGTGTGTATATATAGGGGGGAGATTCCCACTGTTGTATCGCCCTTTTTTTGGTTCATACTCAATCTTCTCCTTGTTGCTCATACAGTTCTTTTCTGTTGTTTGCGGTTTTTTTGGTTGTTGTTTTCCTTTTTTTTCTCTTTCTATATTCATTCGTAGGTCTTGAAGATCTATTGTTTCTTTTTTTTATATTCTTTGAGGCAGAGCTTCGATCTCTTTGGCACATCACACCTACATTAGCAATGTTTACCTCACTACTTCCCTTTCTTCTTCTCTCTGCCCAAGCGCTGGCCCAGATTCCTGAAGCCTTCACTAAAGGGTTCGACCCAGAGACTATCGAGCTCGTCGTAAGATATCCAGAGTCAGGCAAGATCCAAGACGGCGAAACCCTCTCCGTAAATGGTTAGTAGGATCTATATATCTCCCGTCTTTAGTGGATAAAAAAAGACTAACAAATCTTTTACAGAAACCTCAATCCTCCCTGAGTTCGCCCTTGGAGATTCCTCAGCAATCAGCACATCCACAAACTACATAGTAGTCATGCTGGATCCTGACACCACGCCCGACCCATCCACTCAGGTGTTGCACTACCTCCGAACCGACTTTTCCGTCGAGGAGTTCACGAAGCTGTCCTCTGCGAGCACTACAATCCCTGTGCCATATCTGGGGCCAGTCGGGGAGGATGTCAAGACGCATAGATATGTGTTTTTGCTGTATGTGCAGCCAGATGGATATGAAGGGAAATTGGTCCCGAGCGCCGACGGCGATCGGAGCTTTAATGTTTCGGCGTGGAGAATCGAGAACCAGATGAAGCCAGCCGTAGCCGGAGTACATTTCGTCTGTCAACCAGACGGTGGGGAGGGTGATGTTGGTGGGGACTACGGCTATGGTGATGGTGAGGACGATAGTGATGATGAGGGCGAGGGTGCTGAGACTACTACATGCTCCGAGGGAGCGTCAATGACCAGCAGCGCGGCTTTGACCTCGATGCCAGCCCCAACAACCACCTCGACCCCAGGCGACGAGGGTGAAGAAGGTATCTTGACCGACACCGTCGCCCCTCCCGAAGCTACCTCTTCTGCGGCCGCCACTGCCACAGGTACATCCCCGTCGGCCCCTGCAACCACACATACCGTTCTCGTCGGCGGCCCCGGAGACCTCCTCCTCACCTACCAGCCCCCATTCGTCAACGCCCTTCCCGGCGACCTCATCACCTTCGATTTCCGCGAGAAGAACCACACCGTGACACAATCCACCTTCGACACCCCCTGCGTCTCCAACCCCTCCGGCGTTAAATCCGGCTTCCGCCCCAACGCCGAGGGCACAGCAGGAAAGGAGGTCTTTGAGTACCAGGTCGTCGACACAACGCCGAAATGGTTCTACTGCGCACAGGGAACGCACTGCAAGGCTGGTATGGTGTTTGCGGTCAACCCGGGCGCGAAGTGGGAGGCTTTTGTCGAGAATGCGAAGGCGGGGGGGACGGCTCCTTCTGCTTCTCCTTCTGCTACTGCTACTGCTACTGCTACTGCTTCTGCTACTGCGTCTGTGTCTGTGTCTGTTACTAGTTCGGTGGGCGCGATTGCTACCTCTACGTCTACCTCCACGGCTACAGCGACGGCTTCGGCTACACAGAGTGGTGGTGCGGCCGTGCCGAGCGCGAATTCGACGGCACCCGGTGACGGGTCTCCGCCGGCGTTTGAAGGTGCGGCCTCTGCGGGAGCGGTGGCGAGTTGGGTTTTGCTGGGGCTGGCGGGTGTGGCAGCGTTGGCTACATTGTAGAACCCCCCAAGCAGTGGTCTTGGGCCAGACGATGTTAGTGAAGTAAGGAAGGTGTAATGGCCGGGAGATGATTAGATGCGTACATGTACCTACTACATTGCTTTGATTTTTTTATACCTTATTTCTTTTGTTTTTTTGTTGTTTTGGTCTGGTCTGTTATTATTATTATATGGGGTCTTGTGTAGTGATAGTTGGTTGGTGGTTAGTACTTGTTAGAGCTGGTTCTTAATAATACACAAGCTGGAGGCCTAGGAGGGGGGAGGGCTTTAGTCCATGAAATATCTACTGCGCTTCTTGAATTTGGTGAATTTGGCGAATCCGTTGAATGTGAAGAAGCAATAGTACGCAAACCAAACCAAATTTAACCAAACTACATTACAGCGCCACAAACTAGGCCAAAACAAGCCAAGCCCCCAAGAACGAAACACAGCCTCCGAGTGATATCCCATGATGCGCAACATCCCACCACTAAGTCCCATCCACATAAGCTCACAACTTAACCGTATCCTCACTGGACGGTAGAAAGAAAGAACACACGACTGCCAAGCACCCGTTCATTCACCAGCTCTCTACTACGACGAGTATCTCACGCACCTACTACTACTAGCAGGAGGGAGGAACAAGAAGAAACCAAAGCAACCACCCAACCCAATTAACCCAACCAACCCACCAATAGCACCTCCCAAAAGGCACCGCAAACCAAAACAACCCCCGCTCCCTACCCCCAAACCAAACCACCCACTCCCAATTTGCCAGTGACGGCCCCAAGTGTAAGATTACAATGTAGTTATGTACCTACTTTCTCCAGCGAGTTAACTACAACCGCATTAGAAGCCTACTCTAGTGTAGTTGCATTTCAGCGCATTATCAAACCGAGCAAGGCTTAGCGCGGTTGTCCAGCCCTATCTTGCGGGACGATTCACGGGATGTCACTCGCACACCCGCCTACGCACACAGCTAATGGCTTATTGATTGATACCGGCCCACGCAACTGATGGTATGCTAGATTCGTAAAGATGTCTATTCGCGCTGCCTATTCCTGCGTAACTTCATGGCTAGATAACACAACACAACACGGCCCAACTCAACTCAACCAAGGACAGATCAAAAACATATCAAACAGAACAGAACAGAACGGTACTGAAGGGATCGGAAGAGATCAGATCAGAACACAGCACAGAAAAGACCAACAACAGCTAAAAATGGCAAAACAAGATGCAAATGCAGATAAAAAGGAATAAAAAAAACCACAAAAGAAACCCCACAAAAAAAAAGAACGAACACCCTATACCCTCCGATACACCGCCACCGCCCCATAAAACCTCTCCCCCTGCTCCTCCCTCCCAACACCCGCATACGGAATCCCCACCACCAGCGCCTCCTCCGTCACCGCCAGACTCCCCGCAAACCTCGCATTCGCCTCCGCGCCCTGCATAACCAACCCCACCGCCACCCTCGACACCTCCTCCACCCCCCCCTTCCCCAACACGTTCTGCAAACGCTGCACAAACCCGGCTGGAGCAGGGGCAAGCAGCGCATCAACATCAACCCACCATACACCTCCTCGCTCGCCATCCCACAACTCACTCCCCACCCAGACACCCCCGCTGCCCTGATCCGCAACGATCGTCCGCCCAAATTTCGCATACCGCGTCAACTCCCCCTCCCCCTCGGCCACCAGCTCAGCGACCAGTCTTAGCTGGTCTCCTTTTCCCAGGGCGTACAAGCGTACTACCCCCGCTTGCACAACGCCATCGACGTCCTCATCCGGACTACCGACCGCAATCCATTCCACCCCCGCTGCGGAGACGCCGGCGGCCAGCGAGGCGGTGCGGGAGAGCGAGGGCGAGGGGATGGTGAACACCAGGCTAGGGGTGTTGTCGACGAGGCGGTAGGCGAATGTTTTGCCGGTGCCGGCGGCGATAAGGAGCGTGTGGGATTTAGGGAGGAAGGAGAGAGCTGTGCCAAACGACTCGTAGGTGGCGGTTGCGGAGCATGGGAGGGGTGTTTTTTCGGATGGTGGGAGAGGGATGTGGTGGGTTTTGAGGGAGAGGTCTGCGGTTGTGTGGAGGTCGGTAGTGATTGTGATATTGGATTCGAGGGCGGCGGAGGAGGGGACTAGTTGGAACAGTCCGACTTCGCCTTCTCCCATCTGGACCCTCTCGCGGCCTTCACACACCCTCTTTGCGTCGCTGCGACTCCCGCTCACGACTAACCACTCATTCCCGCTGCCGTCCAGGTCCGCAGCTATCATCTCCTCGCCCCACCATCTGCGTCCAATCCCGCCCAGCTCCGCGCCCTTAATCGACAGCGAAACCCACCGCTCCCCCTCACCCGGCCGAAACACATCAATGCGCCCGGCCACTCCGTTCTCCGTAAACGGCAGACTGGGCGTAGCAGCCTCATAGGAAAGTGGCCCCGGCGCCGACACCGCAAGCAGTGTCATCCCCTGCGTCTTCCACGCCGTGGACGCCGTTCCGAAGCGCTGGTCTACGGCCGTGTGTGTGCTGATGGCCTTCTGCACGCGCTGCGGCGTGACGTATTCCGGTTGTAGGGCAGAGAAGGGCGTTGGCTCGGAGGAAGAGGAGAGGAAGTCAGAGAGCGGGAGGACATAGACGTTTCCCTCGCCAGGGCGCGATGAATCTTCGGATTCGGTGGGCGCGCCAACGGCGAGTGAGGGTTTGGAGGAGTCGGGCGTGAAGGCACCGACAGAGAGGGAGCTGCCAAAGCGCGCGTAGGGCGTGTAGGTCGCTATATATGTTGGTTCTGAGAACTTCGGAGCTTTGGAGTTTGGGTGTGGGGGGTGCGCGGGGACGGGGCCTGGCGGAGGAGACAGAGGCGGGAGGGTGTATGTCTCGACACCAAACTGGTCGGTGTGCACTGTGATGTGCTTGAGCTCCTTGTTGCTATATTCCGTGATGAGCGGGAGCTGTTCCTGGGCGTGCGAGTGGCCAGTATCGCCCGCTCCGCCCCGTGCTTTGATGGCGCGGAAGACGTCGCAGATTCCCCAGCCGTTGCGGATCTTTTCGTCGGGGTCGATACCGTTAGCGAACCAGCGGGTGAGGTTTGACCAGCAGGAGACGGTGCGCGAGGTCATTTCGTCGAGGCCGCCAAGATAGTAGTCATCGAGCGAGTTGACGAGCATTGGGGACTGTGAAGCCATTGAGTCCAGCCTGTACAGCCATATATTAGGATCAACACCACCCCACTTCTCCCCACCGTTACGAATCCGCTGCAGGAAGGACAGAAGAAAAAAACTCACAAGCTCGGTCCAACAGCGAGATCGCTCCTCAACGCCGCCAACCCCCTCATTGTGCAGTATCTCAGCACAAACTTATTAACCTCCCTCCCCATCCTTTTATAGATCTCCATGATGTCGTCAATAGGCACCTTCCACTCGCCCCCAATCCACGCCCTCGACTCCTGGCCCATCCTCGCCAACCTCGCTGCCACCATAAAATCCCCCCCAAAATCCAGCACGCGATGTGCCTTCTCCTCATCACCACCAAAATCCACAGCCGCCAGCGCCGCCAGGAGCCCACTCGGTAGCCGGATCGCGTGCCAGCTCGCATCCTGTGTCTGGTGCCCTGCGATAGCAAAAATGAACGAAATCAACCCCTCCAGGTGCTCCTGCTCGTCTGTGCTGCGCAGCGTGGTGTCATTGAGGTAGCCGTATTTCGAGATGATGTGCTCGACACTAGCGACGAGGAAGGGAGGCCAGTGGGCGGCTTCGGCGGCAGAGTCGGTAGAGAGGCATTGGTAGCCCCAGTCGGGGAAGAAAGCGCCGGATTGGAGGAAGGGCGTATTGGTAGGCGAGAGGAGGAGCGGCGAGATGAGGGGCGTTATCTGGGTTAGGTCGGGGACGCTGTTGGGAAGAGAGAAGAGGTGTGTTGAACGGTGGAGGACCTCGTTGTGAACGCTGTGGGGGGGAGATAGGTTAGTACTTGTGTGGTCGCGTGCCGGGTCACAGAAGGGGAGGGACAGAGCTTACAGGACCCCGCAGGAAAGGGCAGTGCCCCAGTAAAGTGTCGAAGCGATAAGATGCCGCATCTTAATTGATTGCTTGCACTGTTCAAAATCAAAAGAGGGGAGAAGAAGGGAAAGAGAAAGAGTCAGGGCAAAGGGGGGTGGGGAGGCGAAGGGATTAATAGCCGCACCACTCTATGAATCTGCTCGGGATATATATCCTAGATAACCACCCTCGCTCGATTATACACGGACCTTAATTGTTGGACATAAGCTGGCTGACTGACTGACAGGACAGACTCGGGGATCTGCATGTTTTGTTTGTGTATGAATCTGCAGCTCATGCACTCCATGCAGCCATCCCCCAGGGCCACAAGGATAGAGAAGGTACAAGGAAGGGCAGAGCCTGAGAGAGAGCTCCAAAGATGTTGTTCCAGATGAGATTCGTGCCAAGGCGGCGCCCCGGCGAGAATGCGGGGAATGCCGACCGGGGAGAGCCCTGCAGCCGAGAAGATCGAAGGCGCACGCAGATCGAGATGCGAGTGAGAGGCTGTGATATTTATCCGGAGTCAATATATATCGCTGTCTAGGAAGGGGAGGTATCTCACCCACAGTACTCTCTGTAGACTCCTCCTCCTCCTCCTCCTCCTCCTCTAGCCTGACGATGGTGTTGTTGTTGCTGCTGATGTTCTTGACAGCTCTCTTCCCTCCCTCCTCTCTGCATGCACCCTCGGAACACGCCCGTGCAGAGCCTCACTCACTCACTCACAGACGATGCTCCCTCGGCCAGCTAACGCAGTGAGGAAAGCTCCCGTGATAAGCATACGTACCCTCCAAGACTTTTCCTGTGTTTTGCGCGGTTGCAGTTGCTGTTATCAGTGTGAGGGATCCGGATCCTAGACAGATACCTACTCGGAGTAAAATACCCGGTGAGGATCTTGGTATCGCAGCGTGTTCTCGAGATGTCCTGCTTCGTAACAGAACCCAGGCTGGCTAGCCAGGGGTGTGTGGAGGCTCAAACAAGAATTGGTTTGCAGTTGGGCTCGATGTCGACGACGGCCAGCCAGCAGGAACAATGGATTGATGATGAAGAGTCCTCTGACTGTGAAGATACTTATACCAGCCAGTCTGGTATATATATCTGTTCTACTTGTATTGGCTGTGAATACGTTGTTGCCAATTATTATTAACCAACCATCCTTACTGTGACGACGCGTGACGCAGATAGATGCTCTGTCCATTCCAGCCTCCAGACAGCACCGACACCCATTCACTACATGTAGTAGCCAACAGTACACTAGGCCCGTGCCTCAGATCCCAAACTTTAGACGAGAAACAGCATACCATCTTAGCTCTTGGCGCCGCGCCGCGAAACACTGACCGGCAAACTGTACTACTAACCTACCAGGGTCAGCGTTAACATTCCCACACAGCTACCGGACATTGAGTTTTCCCCTTATATGTTGCCATGAATTGACTTGATCAGGGCGGGGCGTTGTCGCTATGATATGTTTGTTTTCATGGTTAAGGCAGGCCGCTCAATCAACTGGGTACTACATGTATGTAGTGATTCCGACAATTCTATGGGTCATGCGACTCTTTACTCTTCTTATTCTGAGAGCTTTGCACCAAATAATAGACCCATAACCCATAGAATTACCAGCATCGGTGGTATGTATTCATCTGGTTATTTTTCTACAAGTCTATAGTATTGTTCTACAGTAGACTCTCGCTGTAAGGATATTTAATATAAGGATATACCCGCTATAAGGATACCACTAGCCAGTCCTAACAAATTTGTATGGGGTTGATCTTAAGGAGAATTGGCTATAAGAATATCCTTATGCTTTTGGTGATATTTTGTGTGGGTATCCTTATAGAAAGTGATCTTGATGTGTGAATTTGTAGTTCTCCCCTCCCAAAAAAAAACAAATAAAAATCTTAAAAGTTACAAAAAGCAGACATTTAAATAACTATCCCACAAATTAAATAAGTATTAGACCCCACTCTCGCAAATCTCTGGGTGTTTCTAGACCGTAATTTTTCTCATTGTTCCTGGAAAACCTAACCCTAAACGTGCTGTAAGGATATATTGGCTATAAGAATACGAGTTTCCGGTCCGGACCGTATTCTTATTGCGAGAGTCTACTGTACCACCACTGCTGGCATATATGGGCTGTCATGCACAAGTAGCCGTAAACTGGCTTTACAATCCTCATCGGCCGAGGGGAGACCAAATAGTACGTATATGTAGAAAAGATGGCTCCAGAGAGATAGTCACTATATGTATCTCTAACTGGGTCTTGCTATACCATAGTACATCGGTCAGGTGTCCGGATCATCCGGTACATACCCCAGCCGGAATCTTCACTATTACTCAAATGTTCCCCCCAAAAGGAGCGAAAACTACTCGCAGGATTTAACGGCGATGTCAATGACTTATGAGTCTATTTGATCCATACCTAACGAACAGTGAAACGGGTTGGGAAACCGGAGTTAATGATAATGACTATGTTACTATGATAAATGGAGCCTAGTTTACCTCGAGGAAGCTCAAGGTACATTGGTCCACGAGGCGGTCGCCTCCAAATAAAGCTCTCTTGTTTGGCGTAAGCTCTTGAGATTTAAGTCCCATCTAGTGGAGACTTGATATCTGTTCCGGTTGTTATGAATTCCCTATAGTTACATAGACCTCACCAGCCCTCCAATCTAGGCTCTTTGGGATATACTCCCAACATATCTTCGACCCCTTTCAAACCCACACCATCTATCAGCAGCCAATCTAACACTCACGTAGCAACACACTAGACTAGTAATCCGAAAGCTCAATCCAAAAACAGAGTGCGTTGAACAACCAACGTGCACTTCTTTTTAACTTATCCATAAGCTATTATAATACTCTTTCCGCCCGCAGCCCACAAACAAAAGTATAGAAAAACGAGGTTTCGTGAGTAGAATCATATCCCCCAAACAACCCAATCTAACCCAACCCCAAAGAAACACAACTTCTCCAAGCAGCGTGATCATTGCCAGCAGGGACAACCAACTCAAGATACCACTCTCGCTATCAGTCACACCCTACCCTACTCAAGCAAGACAAACAAACGCCTCGAGGCATCCAGGAAAGACACAGGCGGAGCACCTATCAGATAAGCCGGACAGAAACAATATATAATCTTACCCCCAGCACTAACTCAAACCCACGCAAGCAGGAACACACATCATTGACACCAACTCTAACTAGCTAGAAGATTATTACTAACAATAAGAACATAATGCGCAAGAAAATCTAAACCTAAACTACTAAAAAAACCCAGATCACGTGCTCGAGTGACAATCCATGATCGCAATACCAAAACCGTGGGTCAAGAAAATCAGTATTTAGAGTGGAATATCGCAAGATATTTATTCCTCATTAGAGAAAGAACCAAAAAAGGAATATATAAAGCAAATTACCACGATATATTTACCCTCCCTCTCCCCCCATTGATAAAAGAAACAAAAAAGAAATAAATAAAAAGTTCCCAACTCCCATCCCCTACGGCCGGGGTGGAAGCTGGTAATCTTCCGCCGAAATCACCCACCGGATGGTGTGAAGTCAGCGCGGGTTGAACGTGCACGCATTATTTAAGACACAGCTGGTATTGAGACAATGGCTCGGCCAAATACCGCTGGGACATCCAACCCAATGTCGGTAGCATGTTTTTTGGTACCCTTGGCCTGTATCTTGGCCCTTTGCTAGCTTATCTCATCTGATTGCGGTTGGGTGCAAGTTTAGATCTTTGGCATACGCGGCCAGTTCTAGAAAATACTGCCTGCTGGGGTATTTTAAACTTTGCTCTGAATTAAGCTTTTGATCGTAACCCGGCCTCCGGCAGAAACATTGCATAACCCCACAACGTCCCACTGTCATCTTCTAAGTCACTTCATCACACCTTCTGTCAGATGACGGGCACGCTACAAGTCTTGGGACTTGTATAATCACGACAGAGCAGTCGACCAACACCTTTACGTTAGTTACCTACTTCAATAACTAGAAAATCTAGACTAGCTCACACCGAGAGCAAAGGCCATAGGCCTTGAGACCTTGAAAAGAAGAAATTATCTCGAGTCATCGGCTGCAAAATAAGTCTTAAGACATTTTTCGAGAAATACCAGTTCCTATCGTGAGAGATACATACCCCCTTTCATCTTTGTTCCCATCATATGAAGAGTCACTCACACTTTTATAGCTAACCCATGTGATCGACCTCAGCTCTTCGGGTGGTTTCATTTACTCTGGCCACAACAACTTCAAAGTGGGTCATTATATAAGAGAAAACGGGGAGTAAGGGCGGGAGATACAAGTACCTATGGCTCACAGGGAAAGATCTTCCAACACTTAGTCGAACTGCAAAAGTATCGATAATTTGTTATCTTTTTGCCCTGCACTAAGGAAAATCAAAATGCAATTAATGAATTAAATAAAAAAAAAAAAAAAAGGAAAATCAAAAACCTACAAAACCACACCACGGCCAGTTGATGCTAAATCCATTGAAATGAGAACACTTGTAGAAAGATTGGAAAACTCGGAACTCCGGAACTCCTTATTCTAACACCTCGTCAATAAATAGCTGAATGATCTTGGACGGGCTTGGGCACCTTGGAGATGAGAACACTCTGGTTTTTTTGTTGGAATTTGGAGGGGGAAAAGACGAACACTAACATTATCACGATTTCGTTGATTCAACTCAACAATCCCTTAACCTCTACGACCTCAAAAATCTATCTTGAGAACAATCCTGTTTCTTCTCTCGAGACTGACGATGCATGACCAATTTTTGTTGATGTTCCAATCGCCGGGAACAAGTTTGCTGAAATATCCTTCAGGACTAATACAGATTAAAGTATCTATCAGGTATAGAGCCTACACCAGAGGTCAATATGCTAAACGACATGGACCTTGGCCACCCTTAATTTCAATTTCGAGAGGCACATGTTTTAGGACACTAGAATCTGGTCATATGCTTGGACAAAAACATTTAAAACAAATCTGTGGTAATACTTGTTAAGTCGTCTTTTTCGCTCCAATACATAACGGTCAG